CGGGTGGGAGTGTTGAAGAAAGCCCAGTTTCGATGGCTTCTTGGGCAACATCAACGAAGTTCGCTGGGCGCAGGATGTGCCGCCACCCACAGATCCCTGGAAGTGGGGTGGCGCCATCGGCGCATGGATACACAGCCCTGCGCAGGTAGACGCCCTAAACCCTAAACCCTAAACCCTAAATCCTAAACCCTAAACCCTAAAGCCAGGGCTCGGATGTTCATCTTGTGGGAAGGGCCACTCTGCTCTGGGGCATCATCCTCATCGGTGTTCTCTGTGGGCCTGGGGTGAAGGGTGTTGGATTTAGGGTTAGTATAGGGGATATATAGGGGATATATAGGGATAATGGAAAATAAAATGGAAGCTAGTATTTAGGGAATTTAGGGTTCACTTCCACCATGTGGGGTTTATGGTTTAGAGTTTAGGGTTTGGGATTTAGGGTTTCCCAAAATTAGGGATACCGTTCTGGGGGTCCCCATAATAAGGACTATAGTATATTGGGGTCTACATTGGGGCTCTTTATTTTGGGAAACTACCATAGGGGGTTTAGGGTTTAGGGGTTTAGGATTTTGGGATTTGGGACTTCGGGTTTAGGGTGTTTTAGGGTCTAGGGTGTAGGGTGTGGGTATAAGGTTCTAGAAGTAAAGTGTTAGGCCATGATATAGGGCTATAAGGGGCTACATGGGGCCATGGGGCATACAGGGATGCATGGGGTTGGATGTGGTTGCATCGGTCATATGACCCGTGGTTTTAATGGTCATATTTTCAGGTCTCACCACTAGACACCCAACATGTACACTCACCAGCACTTCTCCGGGAACCTATAGACACCCACCAAAATCCCATATATGTAGGGTTTCATGTAGGGTATGTACAGCTAGCTAGGGATGTCTACGGTTTCGGGTCCCGGTCTGTAAAATTGAGGGCATTCTGCTGAGGAGCGCCATTGTCACGATGGCTCTCGCCAGTAGGAAGACACGCCATCCTTCTACCAGAAAGGCGGCCAAGGGTTCAGGGTTTAGGGACATGGGGGTTTGGTAGGGTTTAGGGTTTGGGGCTTAGGGTTTAGGTTTAACGGTTGTTAAGGCTCATGTATTTGGAGCATGGATGACGGCCAACATTAATTGTAGTTTCACGTTTTGGGTAACTGTACCTGTGGGTACCAAGCACTTCCCTTCCCGAAGCCACAAGACAGCCTACACCCTGAACCCTGAACCAAAGTGCCAACACTCCCAAGCCCCAGTGACCAAAAGCTGTGATCCCCATAGGCTGATCAGAAAATAGGGAAACGTCCTAGCCCAGACCCTTTTGGGTTTAGGGTTTAGGCTGCTTAGGGCCCGGAAGGATCCCAAAAAAAACGGAACCCACACAAAAGGACCCCTACCATGGAGAACCCAGGTTCCCAAAATTGTTGATCAGGACCCTGCCGTATTAAGACCATCTCCTACTCCTTGTTGAAGAGGGCTTAGTCTAAACTCCTCATTGAGGGCCTGGGACTATTCAGGGGACTACTCTAGGGAAGCAGGGGGATACTAGGAGTTTAGACTTGGAACCCTAAACCCTAGTTTGTAGGGGCTATGAAGGGTGGCTCATATTATATTAGCTTGGGAAGGTTCGGGGGCTGAGGGTCTAGGATGTCTCAAATTCCCAGAATCATTGCCTGGCACAATCCTCTACAAGGAGC